ACTTCTATCTCTAGGTAAAGTCGCAACTCACCTCGTCGGGTGCTCGTCGTCGGTCTCTTATTCCCTGTATTTCTCCTGCTTCCTTTCTCTCTCCCTCGTCGCGGGGGTGAAAAAAAGAAGGGGGAGAAAAGAAAACCTGTAGGCGTGTTTGTGTGTGTGTGTGTGTGTGACCCACCCCTGATCCCTCCGGGTGGATTTACGTAGGGCCAGCAAGGCCAGATGCCGCGGGGGGCGACTGGCCTTGCGGCCATATGCCCCCCGGACACCACACACATCACATCCACAGACACAAGCCACAGTCAGTCCATGTTGTAGTCATTTCGGAGGTGGGTTTCGACGAGATGCCTACTTACCCGGCTAGGCTGATAGTCGAAGTTGTGCTCGAAGAGCTTCTTGACCACCGCGCAGCATCTCCCGGTTTCAAACCCATTATTAAACATTGCCCTGACTATCTCATTGATCTCCCTAGCTGCTTCCTGCGGGTCAGTTCAGAGCAAGAGAATGAGCACAGTTTGTGTTGTAATGATCTGTAGGGACTGGGCAATGCTCCGATTGGAGTTAAATTTCATGAACCTGCAGGGGTTAAAGTCCAGGCCCCTCTTTTTGTCGTATTTGGAGGTGGAGTATGTGCCCTGTTCTACGAAAGATACAAAAATCGTCATGTTAAGGAAATTGGTGCTAATGCCTACCTCACCGTCCTTAACCTCCGTAGTCTCCTTCATTTCGATGAACTCCTTTGGATAGATCCAGAGAGGATCTGTGTGCTGATCGCAGTTCTCTCTGAAGAATTCGCGAATGGAGGGGTTGTTCAAGGAGCAGAGGTCGTCCACGTACCTGTAGGTGTCATCAAAGGCTGATACCAACTGCTCATTGCCTGTCTTCAACAGTCCGATCATTGTCTGATACTCATACTTGAAGAAGTAAATATCGCACGAGACTGGGGAGCAGGCAAGACCCATTGGTATACCCAGTATATGTTTCCACACGCACGTGCCCATTTGGATCAGGCTGTGGTTCAGACACCATTCTGTCACTGCTACTACCTCTGTCTCCGTAAAAAACAAATCGATGCTCGTGTTTTGTAGACGCTCTTCTGCCCACGAGGGGTAGAAGTTGCCGCTAGGGCTGACTCTGATCCTAATAGTATCCTTCGAGCTCCTGTCCCTGCGGTATTCTAAGGCTAGCTGTACAAAGAAACGGACCGCGTTCACCAGGCTATGCTCCGAATCAACCGTAGGGATGGTCTCGAAATACCTTGTGATATCCGTTGTGTAGACTGAGAATAGAGAATGGGGGAGGTTGGCTGCGAATTGGCCGACCGATGAGATGGGCCACCAGAGAAAGGCTTTACTCCATATTCGGGTCCCATCTCCACGCACTTTTCTTTACAGCAGGCCTGCACGCAGGAGATGAGAAAGCTGAGCAGAGTTGCACACAGGCTTGCCATTGGGGAAATCACAGTGTCGGCTGTATTGGTGATCCACCGGAAGGTGTGCTTCTGTGCCTTATATACTGTCATGAGGTGGGGGAGCACTCCGTGTCCAACAGGGAGGGCTGGCAGATGCACCAGTTCTTCCCTGATGGAGGCAATGAGCGGTTCTGGGTCCTCGTTCAGCGGAACGAAGTCCGGTACTTGTAGTCTGCGCAGCGCTAAGACTCTAATGGAATTGGTGCAGACAAACGAAGGGGTGCCGGCAGACTTATCGGTCGTGCAAATCAGAAAGCGTTCGGTGAGGTAGTCTAACTCCCTCCTGGTGCGAGTCTGATCAATAGGTTCCGCTGAGATATGCCTGTTTTTACCGTGGTGACCGACCATCTTGGCTTCAACCTTCTGCATGACGAGCTGTCTAAATTTCCTCCTGCGCGACTCCCTCATGCTGGAAATGTAGTAAAAGACGGTGATGAGTCTGTCCAATAGACCGCTTACCTCGTACAAGGCCTCGTCGATATCATATGCTCTTAATGGAATGTGATTGAGCCCCGCCTTCAGCATCGCTTGTAACCTGCAGTTGTCTGTGATGGACGTATCCATCGTCAGGACATGTGTCTGCTCCGATCCCGGGAAGAGTTCCAAAGTGTGCTGGCTGTGCAAATTCGCGTAACGAGCGGTGCTGCATCGGCATTGATCCGGATCGTATTGTTCGGTCCACTGTTCGATGTCGAAGTCCTTGAACACCTGTTTTGGTCTGCAAACGTGAGATGCCATAGACTTGTCGTACGTCCATCCGAACACTATATCGTCCAGCCATTGCTCGGCTTCTTCTCCTTCAACCTTCTGGAGTGCTTCCTTGATAAGTCTGCGTATTGAAAAAGCCTTCATGGCCCTGCTTGCGTATTTCATATGCAGGAAGGTAAGATTCTCCTGCTCGTGCTTCTTCCAAGCCAGCCTTCCTGTTGGCAGCCGTACCATTTCTCCTCCCTTTGTCCTGCCATTGTCGCCCAGCCTGGGGTCCTGTCGTGAGAAGACGGGAGGGGGGGAGAGAGAGGATGAGACAGGGAGAGCGAAAAGA